CTGCGCCAGCTCTTGCAGCCTCTCCCCTTTAGCATGGACTCTAGTCCTAAACCTAGCCCTGTAGACTTCGGACTGATTTTGAGTTCCATACCTGAGCTCTAGGGCAGCTACCAGTGCTCTATAGTTGTCCCTTTTAGCACGGACTCTGCCAGCTCTTGCAGGCTCTACAGGACTTGGAAAGTATGGCACACAAGGCCTACCCAACTGCACCACCCGATGTCCTCAAGCTGTTGCTGAGGGATCAGTTTGTAGATGCCTTGGACAGTTCACAACTGAAGATACAAGTGAAGCAAGCACACCCATCTACTATGCAGGATGCAATGGCCAGAGCTCTTGAATTCGAATCCTATGTTAAGTCTAGCACAGAAATACCAAGGTTGGTACAGTCATCAGGATTCAAGGCCAAAAAAAGGCAGCTTTCAGAGAGGTTTGAGGGACGTTGCTGGCACTGTAACAAACCTGGGCACAAGAGAGCTCAATGCTGGCAACTTCAACACAGGGAAGATGCCACAGCAGGAAAGGCTGTTGCCCAGAAAAGTTGTTGGAACTGTGGAGAGCAAGGACATATGAGGAGCCAGTGTAAGAAGAATACTACCAATAAGTCAGCTTCGGGGAAACCAGTAGTGGTTGGTGTTGAGGGACGACCACCAACCCCCATCGTGATAGTCCCAACAGCTAGGTGGAAAATGCCAAGCACACGTAGTGTCTATGTGACAGGAAATCTGGATGGCCAAAGGTGCAACTTTGTCATGGATTCTGCATCTCAGCAAACTCTCGTGAGTATGAAGATGTTAGATCATAAAGGAGGACTAGAAGCCATACAGAAGCTCTGTGGTGTGACAGGACACTATGCAAGGTTGTGAGGATCAGTGTGGGTAACTATTGAGCTCATGGACATGAAGGACAGACACAAAGTATACTTGGCTGACATTGAAGACGAATGCATATTAGGATTGAACTACTTACTACCGAGGAAGTTTGTAATTAATTTTGATAAAATGACGTTTGGGGCATACATGAAACACAGCTGATTCAAAGTTACGGCCTTGATCTGAATGTAGTTCATATGGCATACCAAATCTGAAGAAGAAATCACTAATAGCCAAAGCTACAGTTGTAGCTTCCTGATTTGGTATTGCATATGCCTCAGGCCACTTGGTGAAATAATCCATCACCATACAAATGTACCTGTTTCCAGCACGAGTTTGGGGCAAAGGAACAGCAATGTCAACGGCTACTCTTTCCATTGGTGCACCAACTTGATATAACTTCATTGGAGCACATCCTTTATGCTTGGGTCCCCTTGTAGCACAACATGTACTGCAGGTCCTGCACCATTCTTCCACATCTTGTCTCATACCTATCCAGTAAAATCTCTGTCGTAGGTGACTCAATGTCTTCTTAACTCTGAGATGTCCTCCTGTTAATATATCATGGGATTGACCCAGCACAACTTCCCGTAACTTTCTCGGTATAACCGTTTGGCAGGTCATCACTTTCCCATCTGCAGTTTCCCATCTCCGGAGAAGAATACCATCTTCAAGCTTCAACTGGTCCCATTGTGCTCAATAGTTCTTTGTCACAGGGCTTAAGCTAGACACCTTCTCCCAAGCAGGGCGCAAAACACTTGCTTGCAGAAAATCATTTATTGGCTTCAAATCTTGGTCTTCCTCCTGCTCTGATTCAATATCTAGACCTGGTTCCATTTCACCATCATCAACACCTTCAGTCACTTTGACTTCAGCTTGACGACACCTAGTTAGTTCAATCTCTCTTTTAACAGAGAGGAACTTGGCGTTTGTTGTTTTTGGCTTACCTCGCCGACCACGTTTTATTCGGAAAGTCACGTCTGAGAGACGATCCACTATGTCATATGGGCCTTCCCATAGAGAAGACAACTTAGGAGACTTCCCTTTGGTCTTCCTGGGATTATACAACCACATCTTGTCTCCTGGTAAAAAGCTGACTTCAGTAGATCTCTTATCATAACATAGCTTCATGGAATCAGCAGACGTTTTCAAGTTTGAATGCACTTGATAATGAATATCATCCATCCTTTCAGATAACACTTTCACGAACTCTGACACATTTTCAGGCAACTCTTCGTAAGGTGGGCGTCCTGTTAACAGATCCAATGGCAACCGAAGTTTGCGACCAAACATCAACTATCCTGGAGTGTATCCAGTGGCTTCATGCTGTGCTGTTCTATAGGCCATCAACAATGGAGGGAGTAAGACATCCCAATCAGCTTGGTGGCTATCACAAAACTTTGCCAATTTCTGTCCCAATGTCCAATTGTACTTTTCTATCATCCCATCAGACTGTGGGTGAAGTGACGTTGTTATGGTCTTTCATATACCAAACAACTTGCATTTTTAAACTGTCCTATGATTAGTGTCATCTATCAGTTTATTTTTCACTGTGTTTCTTAAATATTAAAAACTGGAAAGAATAAAATTCAATAGTTTAAAAGAAACTTACGTTAACTTTAAGCATAAAGCTTTGTTTTCTCCTTTTCCACGGCATGATAAAGGATATTCCCCTGCAAGGTTATTTTGCACAGTCTAGCTAAGCCTAATCAGTAGAAGCCTTGTCGAATTTTTTTCATAAACAAAACATTCATGTTGAAGAAACATGGAATGAAATCTAATAAAAATTACATAATATTATCTATTCAACATTTAAACAAAACAATTAGGAGAATTATGGGACGGTGTTCGCAAAATTCTATAACAAATAGCTCTTAAAACGGTTGTGCAAAACTTAAAATGAAATTGTGGGTCGTACGAAATGCTCACGCTGTATTGCCGAATAGCTGATATATTTTTTGATCTTTGTCCTCGCCTAATGGAACATACACCTACTGTGAGTCAACACACAGTATCTTGTATACAAAAGCTAGTCGCTGTAGTCTGTTGATAAAGTTAACAAATCACTATACAGGTTTTATCGATTTACAAATGTGTGTACATAGATGTATTGACGAATGCTTTTAAATAAATTGATAGGCAGATGGATGGATGAACGAGAAGATAAACAAAACTAACAGTATAACACCTAAAGAAATAAAGCGTAAAACACCACTACCTCCGTTATATCTACGATCTTAGGACGTAATAGAACACCATCTTCGACCATACATTTATGTAAGGCCTAATAGTTAGGACACCAATTCGCAATATGCGAATCGCGGGATCAAAACCTTTCATCGAACATTTTCGTCCTTCTAACCATGCAGGCGTTATCATTTGAAAGTTAATCCTATTATTCGATGGTAAAGAGGAGCCTAAAATTTAGCGGTAGTTGCTGTTTACAAATTAACTGTCTTTCTTACAGTCCAAAACTTCATAATTAGGGACTAAATTCAACATAACAAATCTTTATGTAAAAGACTTACACAGTATGGCTACATTATTTCCTCTTTTTTTTTTTTTTCCTTGGCTTTCCAAACAAAATTCCAAATACCCAGACACACTTATATTAAAGCTTTTCCTTATGATTTTATCTAATTAACAACATTTTAACTTGTAATCTGGTTATGAAAGATAGTAATGAAAAATTTAAGCACATACTACGGTACACCAGAAGAAAAAAATCCCCAAATAAATACTGTTACGTCTCTGGTCGTTTGTTAATTTCCTGTAAAAATTCTTCCGCAGGAATTTCAGCGATACAAGTCCTTTATTAAATAAAATTAATTTATTCTTCCTCAATACAACTTTGCAATACACGGTCACTTTAACTTAAACACACGCTATAATTCACAACGATTTACACACTTTATTTACGGCTTGACTCGATTATATCCTTATCAATTTATCTGCCGGCTTATATACTAAAATAGAGGGCGTATGGCAAACGCTGGGACGTTCGTGAGGTTCCCCGATCCTTCTAGAATCTCATCACGTGTTACCAGCGTCACGTGACTTCCAAACAATAGCCACTTATATTAACCCAATAGATAATTAACAATAACTTGATTAAATGTACAGAATTTAGAAACACAAAATTAAAATTCAACAAAGTCTCTTAATTTTACGGGACGTATCTTCTTCCGTACTGGTCTCCGTCTCGTTGGTTTCTGCTTCACGTGGGGTTCATCTGCTCCATCAGGAAATGTCCTATTATCGGTAACAGTCACATCAGTGGTAGTAACTTCATTAATGGCTTCACTGTTTCCCTTCTCAAAACCAGGTGGAGTTTCTTCTCCAACAGTGGCTTTTTCAGGTGACACGTCTTCAGCAGCATCATTTGTTCTGTTGTCCACTTCGTTCCCACTGAAATGTTCTGGACCATGATAACACCAAAGCCTGTTGACATGCACCATCTAAAAATAAGACTAGTTATTTAGAAACCTAAATGTAGTGCTGGGATAAAAATAAGACTAGTTGTTTAGAAACCTAAATGTAGTGCTGGGATACAATTAAGACTAAGTAGGTCGATAATTGCATCTATAAACTTATCTCTATTAGGCTTGGCGTCAGGATTTCTGTGGCCCGGGTTCGGAGACTTATAATGGGGCACCTTTATCTTACTTAAACCACTAATTACCTCTTTCTTGTTTAACAATGTACCTCAGCCCTTGTTAAATAATGTCTTTGCAATTGATGCCTTGAATTACGGAAATGTTTCCAAACTGTTTTGAGGAACACCGAAGAAAATCAGTGCCGGATTATCCGTGAGACATTTGCCCCAAGGCCCCCACAAAATAGGGCCTCCACAAATATTTTAACATTATTTACATTGCGATATTCGATTTATATATTTGAAAGGGCCTCCATCAGGATATTTCCATCAGGCCCTCCACATACCTTAATTCGGCCTTGAAGAAATTACACCCCCACCCCCCTCAGTGTCAGTATTCTGTATACTACTGTTTCAACTAGTTTGGGTTCCTAAAACGGCGAATCAGGTCCTCCTTGATGTGTCATTTATCTGTGTGACAACGCAATTATATTCCTATATTATTTTTCCGCGTGGTTTTGGGACTGATCACAACGGATCTCGACTTGTGTTCCAACCCGTGGGTCATAGTTAAAGGAACCATGAGTGTTTGATAAAACGACTTTATTTGTTGATTTTTTTTTGGCTCATTTATCTCTGTGGTTAACCTATCTTCGTAATAAACTTGTAGTAAGAGTTGAGGTAAGGACTACATTAATTTGGTCAAGTATTTCTAAGTCGTATTGAAAAAACCACTAGGTTTCGTCCACAAACATCTGCTGTCATACAGACCAATAAAATAATCGCCTGCGATTTTTAAATCAGTGGTTTGTCATATGATTTTTCCGTACCCTTTAAATACGCACCAATTGTTTCCAGTGACAAGTACAAAGTCTACAACTTTAACACCTTAGTAAGCGTTAATTTTACCCAAAATTACGTCATTAAGAGATACATTCAAACAAACTGTTTAGTTCATAGTTATTTTTGCCAATCGATCATCCCGATATTAGTAAGTGGTTTGACTATTTTAAACTAACAATATAAATTAAAAGGTTTAGTATTAGTAGTAACCTAGTTTCATTTTCGGCACTTCGTTAGGCCTTTCAAGATCGGTCATTCTTGTCAATAAAGTTTAATAACTGAGGACTATAAACGACCAATATTGATAGGCCTAATGCAGTGCCTCAAACGAAACTAGGTTACTACTAATACAAAACCTTTTAATTTATATTGTTAGTTTAAAATAGGCAAACCATTTACTAATAACGGGATGATCGATTGTCAAAAATAACTATGAACTTAAACTGTTTGTTTGAAGCTGGCTCTTAACAACGTAATTTTTAGGTTTGATATCAATTTTATAGTGTAGTGTTTAAAATGGTCCCATTCTTATCCATTTTTAAAAGAATAACTTATTTATTCCCAGCACTACA